CGAAATATATCAGTTACTAACTCAAAAAACCGCTCCTAAAATATAAACGTCCAATTCAACAATAACAAAGACAGGGATGGAGAAATTAATTACAGTAGGAGGTTACAGTATCTTCTCATTTATATTCATTAAGTATTCTGACGCAAAATATCCCAAATTTATGAAAGTCGATCTAACTTAAGCTTCTCGTCTATAAATATTCAGTGTTAAAAAAATATTTTAAATTACAATCATTTCGAACAAATAGAACAAAATAATAGCGAACATGGAGTTAATTTATTTGAAATACATAATTCAAATCAATATAACACCTGTAAAGGTGCCCGCATTAATAAAACTCATACAAAATTTAAATTAGCCATATTAATGCGACAAGATTTGCAAGAATGTACTATGGTCTAAACTGGAAGGCGATAATTATCAATAAGTTTAAAGTAAATGACCAGTTATTAACAACTATTAGTCAGTAAAACACTATTGTGGAAAACATACAAATAAAACGATTTGATGATTGACATTACAAACATCAAAAAATGTGAGCATCTGAGCGTCAAAATTTGCAAAAAATGACGTACTTTGCATAACCATTAAATTTCTTTATACTAAGAATTTGGTATTTATCACTTTCTACCAACATTTCCACGTTGAAAAATCTAATTAAGTATAATTAATAACAGTATCCAAGTAATAACACTTTCTAAGCAAATAATATACGGTTTCAAAAATAAAAAAATATGGAAAATATTAAGTAGAAAAAAAAAAAGTACGCTTTTAAAGATCCTGCATAATTTAACTTATTGTGAATTTTTAATAATTTTCTCGAGTAAGTTTATGCTATGATCCTGAAAAGATAACACCGATTATAGCTTAATAGGAAGGAATTCTACTGCAAAATTATGTGAAATTGTTTTGTTCTACCCAAGCAAAATATTCAGGCATAATGTATATTTAACCTTATGTGAATTTTTAATATTTTTCTTCAAATAAGTTATGGTCGCTTGCCTATAATTATTTAAAAATCAAAATTTAATAAAAGCGTGTAGATAAAAGCATTTGTTTGAAATTAAATGAAAAAAAATAAAATGTTTAACTGGTTATACATTGCAATGCGTGCTCATGAGCTGTCTGTCATATGTAAAAAATAAGAGCAGTACATATTTAAATATATGAAGATGGAAGATTATAAGAATATACTCAGAAAGGTTCATAAATGGATGCTGTAGCCACGTGATATTTCTTTGGGACAGATAGTGTCACTATGCAATTTTGTCGTTGAAAATAACATCTTTCAAATGCTCGTTTGTTGAAGCACATCAAATGGCTTTAGGAAATTGCTGTGATTGTCTCTCCATCATCACTACCAAGAGGAAGCAATTTACTTTCCCCATTACCGATTTTGAAATAACGAAATGCATGAATGATACATGCTATGCTAAATTCTATGAAGCAAATTTATTTTTTCCCTTCTGTAAAATGACCTTTTTCTGCGGTACAAACTAAAACGAATCAATTTATGCATGTTACAAGATGAAAAAGCTCTCAATTTAACATAATACAGCAATGAAATTTCAGCCCATTATGCTTCAAATAACACTAACTTCTCCCTCCAAAAAGACTACCCCGAAATAATCCTCTCCTTCGTCTTATAGGATATATTTGAAATAAAAATTCCCGCACTTACAAAAACAGCTTTTTATTTTTGTAATAACGAACGAAAATTAAAAGGAACAAGAAAAAGGAGGAAGCATAGTCTTTCTATTCTTTCAATTAGCAGTATTTCATTCCTCACCTAAAAGCTTTATTGTTGATTTTGAACAGATGGACATGCCGGTTATAAAATTTAAAGCAGCAGTTGCACTTAATCCCATTTTCCTATTACTATCGAATATTTCAATTTTAAGCACTTTGTACTGTTACGGAGCATATTTTAACACGAAATATTGCATTACTGAAAGGCCTATCTCATAAGCTTTACGGATATCAGAGTATAAATTCATGGATCATTTCAACGCTTCTATTGTTGTTATATTGAAATCGATGACATTATTCTATGTTCCAGGAAGACATCAATTCATCTTGACACCTAATTTCAGCCTTGGCTCTTCGTTAAGCCCATGTCAACACCATACATTCAAATAAATGACATCGTCATCCTGTTTGAAATCTGCATTTAAAACCGAATGTCTTCCCCGTGGTGTCATCTTATCTTTTTGGAAAATTCCTTCCCTGGTATTATTAAACTACATTCTCTTTATATTTTGAATTTAAGACAGCGGACGATACTGACCAAAAGAGGTAAAAAGATTACACAACCAGTAAGAAATATCTACATCATTTACTAAACGGCTAAACGCATTTTTCTAATTCTAATTTTAAAAACGTGATAAAGAAAGGCGAATTTACTCATGCAGTAAAAATTTAAAACCAAATTTTCAACCTAAAATTTACAATAGCTCTGAGGAAAAAAGATCCTGAAGAAAATAATAGACATAATATTTTGAAAGTGGTATAGAGCTTAATGACGAAAATCTCGAAGACATAGTTCATATTGTCACCTCCATTCAAGAATAGCATCTTCAGGGCGTGCACCGATAAATCACCCATGTCACCAGTTCCTGGATATTATATGCCTTTTCCCTGAAGGAGGCTTATCTGAACCCACCAAAAATGCTTCAATCTTGTCTCATCTTTTTTGGGAGCATACACTGAAACGTTTGCTTCTCAGCAGTAATTTATCCAGAACATAATTATGCTCCTCTCCTATGCTTTAGCGAAAATGAAGAGTCAGAAATTCTAAGTTAACAGATATTCGGTGTGTTGTCTACTTATTTATTTGCCTATTCCCGATGATTCCAAAAACACTACATCGAGCTCCAAACGGCTATCAACGCTTTCTCGCTTACCAAAAAAAAAAAAAAATGCAGCTTTTCGTTTAAACACAATTACAAATATTCATCAGATGTCATCATATTCTCAATTCATCTTACCAATTCTGCTTCTGCGTTCATTTTTTTCCAAAAAAATCAAAACTGACAATTTGTTCCCTGCGAACATTCTAAATGAAAAATTTAAATAAATAAAATTCTAAGTTTCCCACTCAGAAAAACGCCGTTTCTATAATAAAGCAAAACAGGAATACAATTTTTCATTTTCCTGGCAACCTTTACCACAAGAATTGATTTATTCCAAATAATAAATATTCATTGTCTCAGCTCCCAATTTTCTCCATATTTTTTTATGACTAGCGTAGATTAGTTTGGCGACGTTAAAACTCATGAATAATATATTATTTAGTCCAAATGTCCATCTGATTTATAACAGAATATGTGACCATTTAGAAGTCAAGTATTTTAGGAATGTGCCACGGAAAGGAGGAAGCCTTAATGAAAACATACTGTGTAGCGATGAAATATTACAATGTTGACAGTATTCAAGAAATATGTCCTAAATGGAAGTGCTGAATGAATCGACAACAGAAGGGAGGTCACTGGTGCCACCTGTATTCCCTACATAGAAAAGGCGACATTAATGAGTAGACGAGCAGAGAGACACCCTAATGTGCTGTATGAAATGTGACACACACAAATAAACGCTTAAAAATTGTAAAGACGGGGTAGGTACGGTAGCGGATTATTATATGCATCAAATAGGAGCTGTAACTACAATAATAGATCATTGACACTGATATCCAACTTCACTAATTCGAACTTTTCATTGTCCGCCAGCTTTACAAGGAAAGTAGACACAACAATCAATACAAAAGCAGAAGTCAAAAAGATCAAGTAATATGCACTGAGTGCACTACCTCAATTACAAGTCTTTTTCAAAAGACAATGGAGTGAGGCGTTGCTATGTCATCAACAAAGACTTGGCGCAATGACTACTGCTGTACAATCAAACAATCAACCATTTTGAAACAAGATGTCATATATATGACCTATCACTCAGTAGACAAGAGAATCCAATATATCTCTTTGTGGTAGTCAGCTCATAAAACGGTCATTATTTTATACTAATAAAAACCTACACTGATTTTATTTCTTGTCTTACCGAATCCTTTGCAGCTTCCTTACATTCTCACTTTTGTGTTAATTAACTTGCGAAGATAATGAAAATACAAGTTATTCATACAAATACATTTTTCTGTTGTTGTTAAAGATGAAGAAAAGTGACAAGATACAAAAAGAGGAAAATGGAATCCTTGCTTGCTGTTGTAATTGAAAAAAAGTTCAGATTTCTGGCCATTTAACCAATTAATTATTAGAGGAAACTTTATAAGTTGACTAGCAATTTTGCGCCTCTAACAGGACGAGAAGGATCAACAAAGAAGCTACTCTGAGCTATAATGGATGAAGCAGTTATTGTCCTTTTGACTTCATCAAACTCATGACTCTTCTGGGACTGGAACAGAGATGATGCTTAAACCAGTGATTAACACAAATGCAAACAAATGGTGTTGGATACAATTTCTAACTTAAAAATAGAAAAAGCAATGAGCAAAACGTCTGAAATAATGAAAAACATCCTACAGCAGCAACAGAAACATCATTTCAAGAATGAACAAGATGGCTCAGATGGTATGCATGCCATTTACTATCAAATGGGAGCAGTGATTCGGGATGACACCTATGCATTTAACCAAGCAACACTTTTTTCCAGTACGAAAAAAAATTTTTATGAAGGTACAATGCAAAGCTGCTGAATCAACACATACAAACACGCATACATATTTGATGATAGTTCGCAAGCGAAGAAAGCGCAGAATCATGGCAACAAAAAATGCCAGGTAACAGAAGTCGCAAATATTTCATCAGTTAAAACTGCTGATGTTAAAATTTCCAACCAATTTTTATCACACTTCAACTATACAAGTCACTTAATTAAGGACTGACAAAAAAGTCATCGCGGATGAGCGACACTTCCCGAGATAAAAAGGAAACGGATCTGCGGACATCGGGGTGAAAGGATAGATGGATGGATGAAAATGACTATTGTGAGCAATGGGTGGAGAAAATTTGTGGAAACAAACTACTGCTAACAGGCAATATGTCTCGAGGGAGTTGTTTGCTTCACAAGGTCACTTTTCACCCACAAACAAAAACCCATCCAAATCTGTCATCACCGCCAAAGTATGGGTAGCACCACCAGCACCGCAAAAGCATCAACAGAAAAAATCAGAGGACCCTAGAGAGAGTGTCAAAAAGTGCCAACAAAGCGACAGAAGCTTTTATGATTGACTAATCGACAAACGACCATGTCCATATCACATAAGCATACTCAATGTAATACTCCCATGATGCTACAAAACTGAAACTGCTATACTCCATATCCCCGATGACGCCTACCAACGAATTCAGAATATACCAGGAAAAGATTACAAGATCAAGCATGTACGCATATCTAACGTTTTATGCAAATTAAGTTAACAGTGCAATATTAATATTACAAAAAAAGAACAGAGTCGGTGCTCACATTACTAAATCTTTCAGCAAAAAGCAGAATTAGTGCTCTAGATGCTCGATTTCAAAGCATATCTACAGAAATAAGGAAATGAAGTTTAGACTACTTTCTATATTTAAAATATTATAAAGATGCATATGCCTCCAAAACTGTTGAATTTTAAATCAAAATTTACAAAATTAGGAATGGTAAAAGCCTTAATTTTATTACAGACTTCAATTAGAACTGCAAAGATTGCCGAAATCATTTAATTTAATGAAACTAATCGTTTAAAGTTAGTCTTATGCTTCGGCCTCCAATCTTTATAATTTCAAGACAGCATAAAAATGACTTCAAATGTTGAATTGGATTTGAAGAAATAAAATTACATGCCCGAATGATAACCCATACGTCAATGTCTCAGCAATCAAGTGAGATAGGAAGTGGACAGGAAGTTCCAAAAATGAAACATCGTTAATCACATCAAACTTCATCCCTTGATGATACCGGTACTACTGCGACAAATATCTTGTGCAACCATGCCGGATCTCATAAATTTTGAATCACTCTGCTTTTTTTGATTATCGGGGACATCACTAAGACTAGATAACGCTCATTACTTATACATATTTCACCTATCCATTCCCACATTTGAACGGCAAAACCAATTAAGCTATCCGCTTGTACAATCCTTTTTCCTATAAAATTCCGCAGTAATATGTCAAGAGCAAAACTGCCAAAGATTGATCGAATCAAATGCATTAGCATTAGCAATAGTCTCAATTTGCAATAATCCTTCAAGTAATCTCCAGCTTAAAACATTTAATTCTGTTTGGAGACTACAAAGTAGTTACTTTTCATTCAATGCAGCGATTACTTATTTCTCTAGATTGATATTTGAAATTTGACTTTGCGCATGTATCGTTTCGATTCTTAAAAGTCACCAAAGCCATTCATCTGCTTTTACACTCAGCATTTACAATACCAATATTTCACGAGTATTTCTCGCAGCAGGTACAAGACAAACACGAAAGTGTAAATAACTGAACCAATCAGGATGGTGCTCAGACTGCCCCGCTAATTCATTTCTATATACTGATATTGACTAAATATCATACCGTGTTCATTTCATTCACTAATTCGACGAAGTAGACATCACTTTCCTCTGCAATAAGTTGAGACACAGTTTAACTTGACCGGTCAAAACTTTCCTTAATCAACGAGTAACAGAACAGAGGCTGATTATCATGCGCCCTAAAAGTGATTAGTAGCAAAATTTCCAACCAAAATGAATCAAAATCAAATTCCAGCAAGATTCAATCTTTTTCGGCTTTGTTCTTCAGTCAGTACTATCAGCAGTATATGAATGCGCGAGAATGAGTGAGAACAGTTTATTGGATATAATTTAGCAACTATTTTGTGTAATAATATCATTCTCGTTTTCTCAAAAGTTCGCTAATTTGATAACGAGGTCCTTTGCATTTCATGTTTTCCTTCTTTTGATACTAATGTGATTACTGGAGGAAATTGCCTTCTTTACATAAAGACACTAAGCTTGAAAGGGAACATGGATTTCTAATAAATTCCTTTTTCATCTTGATCAATAACACAATAATATACCAAATTAGTAATAAATTAATAATAATATCCTTCAAATGATATTACCGGAAAACTCCCAATACACTAGTTGGTATAAATATAGTGCTGAAATGAAATAATTCCTATGATAAACAAATCAACTGACTTACTAAGAGATGTACATGCAACTACCCGCTCAAAAGTAGATTAAATTGAAGAATTCACTACAAAATTTACTGGCATATGCGGCAGAAAAAAAAAACTTGGAGAATAAAATTAAAGACATTTGCCATCTCGCATAAAATACAAAAGCAGGTGGTCCAAAGTTCTTAAGAAATAATATAAATAAATACCAGCCTTAATCATGAACTATCTGCAGAAAAAAGAATCATAAAACTAGATCAATGTGCTTTTGCAACGGTCAAAATACAATGTAGGATCATAGTGTAGATTGAAAAAGTTTTACCATGCTACCAAAATACAATCCAAAAACCAGGAAGGAAATACATGATCTGACAAAATTAGAATTCCTTTCTCGTATTGTAATGAGAACGAAAACGATTTTAATATGAGATCAAAAAACTATACTATATTCTGGTTTGAAAATGAGCATCAAAAATACAGAAATGGACCAAACAAGATATTAAACATCTACATTGGAGTTTTCTATTAAGAAAAACAGTAAAAAGGTCAACAAGCGTTCTGCATTAGTTAGACAAAAAAGAAAGGTTATGCCAGGTTATAAACAAAGAGAAGAAAGATATAATTAAATGACTGGAAAACCATAAATTACTTCAACACCCAGTTAAAAATTGCATCCAAATGTGCTTACCTCTTGGATAAATCCTCTCTCAAAATCATCTATTTTCCAACCAGTACGTCGAATAATTGCCTCGGCTCGTTTTCTTGTTAGTGTAGATAATGCACGGTGTAATAAAATTTTAATACGTATTGGCACTGCCTGCATAAAACGTGTAAATTATCAAAGAGAGTTTCATATTAACAAGAATTTACTTAAGGAAAAAAATGACGTAAAAATATGATATAAACAAACTAAGACAAATATTATTTGGATGAAACTCACACTGAAATGATTTCTAAGTACTTTCGCGTGAAATAAAAATATAGACGTACTGAAATATCTGCACAAAGAAATGCTATTATAAATGATGAAGACCAATTTCTGAAGAGAATCTTAGCTTCAGTCTTAAATTTTTCTTTAATCAAATGTTTTGTCAAAATATCTAGAGAAAATAAACAACACCTCTCATAAGGCTACCAAACAGCATTTCAAGCAAACACTCCTAGTCAAGGATGATTAAATCGTCTGAAATAAAACAAAATCGAGCACCTGGAAACCGTAAAGTGATGCAAACGTAATGGCTTCGATAAGATCAGTCTGGTCCATCTTACCATTATTATCAACTTCCGCTGCATTTCTGATATCACTGGGACCAGTTACCGCTGATAAGCCACTGCCTGATAAATCACTTACTAAACCATATTGATTCCGCTTTTGAACATTACCTGCAACAAACAGATCTACGGCCAATATTAACAACCATTTAAGGAATATAATAAACTTCATTAACAGATAAAACTCCAGCTCTTAAAATTTCGCTTATATAAGTATACAATTCCTTTTAAAATGTTATTCTTGCTACCATGTTTCAAAAAGATCTGAAGTGTACTCTCGAAGTCATCAGTAAATCGAAAAAAAGAAATTTGAAATAGCAATGCTCCTTTATTCCACATTATCATTACTCATTAAACGGTAATCGATGTGCGAGGAAATAAATACATATATAAAAACCGTTTCTAAAAATCAGTTGAAGTAAATTATAATACTCTTGTTACTAATTCTCGTAAATAGGCTAAAACAAGCCAAAGAGCTACAGCTAAGTAAAAGCGAGAACATAAAGGTCAGGCGGATCACTTTGAATTTCAACTGCAACGCCCTATGGATCCCATCGCTCAGTCATCCTCCTGATTTGCAGATAACAAATAAAATTTTAGATCAGGAAAACACAAAAAAAGATGAAACACACCAGAAGTAGTGGATGATTGTACGGATTCAGTATCAAGCGTTCCCGAACTACCATTTCTAAACGCTGTATTTAAATGTGGCAGCATCGCTGGTGAAAGCAACATCGAAACGATATAATCCGCTTGTTCTTGCAAGAATTCAGCAGCACTTATCTCTTAACTTTTTAAGAACAGAGTAAGATAATATCAAACAATATACAAATTAGCATAATATCTTAAATGCTGCACTTTAATCATAACTGAAGAAATATCTGCAATGTTTAAAGTGATCGAAGAATATGATGCCAATGAATTATATCATATGTTGTAACGTAACAAGAACACTTTTCACAATATTCTATAACTTCCAATTTTGCATTTTCACACCTTGAATAACCTTGAGCACCAGCATACTGTTACATCAGATTTATCAACTTGAAGTGGAACAGAAACAACATCCTCAATACCTACAAGTAATGTTGCACGTTTTACAGAGCTAACTATTCACGTATTAAATAATCCGTTTAAGTCTACGTAATTGCAGAAAACAGAAGTGAAAAAGTGAACAAATTCACCAAAGCACAGTGGTTTTCAGAACAATAAAAACTACGTATGGAAACATACCAGATGCAATATAGTCAGTAAAGGATAGACAGATTTTAGATTTTATGACTGACATCACTGGGATTACAGACAAGACATTCAGACTGAATGAATGGAATTCATAACTACTGAATATTAGTAGTGACAATGGAAAGATATGATGCAATTGTTGTCATACTGCCTTTCCCATTTCAATGGGTAAATGGTGACGATGTCCATTCATTTATACCCTCCGCGTGCACATAATTTTCAACTCGCCTACGGTAACTTCCTTCTCCCTTCCTTTCTTCTCAGACAACTAACTCACACACACACACACGCATACAAACGACAAACTGATACCACCAATCCCTTCCTTCAGCCTATTTAAGTGGCAGGAAAAAGGATGTTACATTCACTGGTAGTACAGACATTTATAAATGCTTACTACCAGCAGACAAGCAATAGATGTAAACACACATTCATAAACAAAAGTCCGTAACATTTTCCGGAAGGAACTAAGTCTGGGAGTATGTCAATCAGGTACAGTTGAGTTCGAAATGTGAGGCTCTGATGAAAAGTGACCACTGCTGATGGGGTAAACAGTGTGAAA